TGTTTTGCAACTAGGGATTACTGCAATTACATGGAAAGTATGTAATAGGTTTACCTGCTACCTGGGAGTGCAGGATCGGCATCCTCCCAAGAAGCATTTCAGGCCATCTCGTTCATATTGTAGTTTCAAATCATGGCATTGAGGCATTGTAACTTTTTTTTTTTTTTTTTTTTTTTTTTTTTTTTTTAATTTTTTTTTTTTTTCCCCCCAACAGAAAGGTTATATTTGCGAGATGGATACCATAGGTTAGATGGCATGTATGTAACCCTTTACATACAAATGGTGTTTAGTGGATGTGTACCTCTCATGTATCCAAAATTGTGTATGTGACCTAAAGGTCAATCTGGAAGTGGTTTTTCATTGGTCATTTTCCATCTCCCAAATATATTATAGGGTTCCAGGAATTCAGCTCCTTTGTAAAAAGTGAAGGCACATTATGGGTTAAGTACCAGGATGGGCATAGCATCTCCTGAACTTATTTCTGTTATTTATATCAAACTGGTTTATTCTACTCCCGGAAGACCTCTATTGCTGTATTTCCTGAAGTTCGAGTCTGATTCTCCTCCCCTCCTCCTCCTGCCTAATCACAGAAGCCTTTGTTGTATTTTGTGAATAAGGTCACATAATACAAAGGCTTCTATGAATGGGCAGCATGTGGGAGGGAGTGGGCGAGCTGCTCTGCGTACCTCTCTAATAGCTCTGAGAGTCTCCAGTGTATCTCCATTTGAGCCATAAACCTGACCAGTGGTGTCCCTAGGCAGGTGCGGGGGGGTGCGCACCGCACCTGGTGACACCTACCGCACGGGGGGAGACACTGGACCTGCTCCACGAAAAGTTAAGTTGTAAAGCAAGCCGCTATCTCCGCAGGATGGATCGGATCTGCGGATTGAGTATAATGGATCGAAGTCCGATCCATTATGCTCTATCCGCAGATCTGATCCATTCTGCGGGGATCGTCGGAGGGGGTCTCACCAAGTGCTATCGCACCGAGTGACACCAACCCTGAACCTGACAGTTCTAAATAATAGAAGTCCAGTAGATGTCATGCAACACCTTAGACTTAAATCATAGTGTGCCTTTTTACAAGGTGGCTGAATTCCTGGAATTCAGATTAAGCCCTGGTTCACACCAATGCAACTTGTCATGCGATTTGACAGTTTTCAAATCGCATGGCAAGTCACACCCTATTGCTTGCAATGGAAACGTGCAAATTGTTGCGACTCTGACTTTGAAAGTAGTTCCTGCACTACTTTTTTGCGATTTCAGGTGTGACTTGCATGGACATCTGTTCATGAAGTTGCACATATGTCTTCCAAGTTACACTGACATGGGACTTGGAAATCGTGTGACTTTAAGTAAAGCTGAAGTCGGATCCAGTGTGAACCCAGATGTAATTTTAATAAAAAAAATTTTTTCAATCTGCATTTGCTGTAATTTTCTGTAAAACTCTATGCAACCTGGAGGTGTTCTACACACCACTGGTGTGCAGAGCAACCCAGAAATATAATTTAATTGTGTGATTGGTTCACTGATTTTCTCAGAAGTCTGCATTAACATACAAGTCAAGATTTAGGTATCCCTCCGCAATAGGAATTTCAGTATTGGTGAGTCCCTTCCCAATGGTTAAATACTTCTAAGGGGATGCAGACCCTGTAGCTTTCCTCATCAGATCAATGAGAGTGCACCAGGTAATTATAATGAACCAGACCCTTCCATTCAGAATCAGTCTGCACAGGACATGGGGAAACTGCTTTCTTCAGAGCAGAGCACCCTACATTGGTGAACCGTTAAAGGGTCATCTGATGGTCAATAATAGGCATGTCCTCTTTACATTGGTGGTCAGTGAATGGAAAAAACCCATACTTTGGTGATTATAGGGAAGAATGCGCTCTTACAGCAAAAAAAAAATTATTGGTGTCAGTGGTTTCGTACCTGAGAAATAAGAAAGAAAAACTTCACTGGACTCAATCTATTGGGTCTGCCAAGTGACTTCAACTCCAGAACTATGCAGGTACAATTGAGCAGGAGTTCAACCAGTCACAGCTCAAGGAGCCCCTAGCAATCTCTAATGGAACACTAGGGTTCTGTGTGGCCCTGGCTTAGAGAGGCTGTATCACTCTGAGGGTGTCCTGACCAATCTGGGACTAGTGACAAGTACATCAAAGTTCTGAAACCGAGAACATCTAGAAGGTTAACTTATGTTCCTTGGAAAGCCCAGTTTCTGGACCTGTACTGTATAATCCTGGGTGTGGTTGGGACACTCTGCACAGATCTTGGGAAGGTGCAGGGTGCGTCCGGAAACTGTCTCAATTTATTAAATTATAAGGCGTGGTGATGGGGTCAGCCGGTGACAATTTTTAATCCTTTTTTTAATTTATCCCCTTGAATAGGACCTTTCATTTACTCTGATATTTTGGACTACAAAAACCTTCGTGAAATCGTGGTGAATAATCGCATCACTTGGCTAATACACTACAGTGCGCGCTGCTCAGTGCGGTTG